ATATATATATATATATATATATATATATATATATATATATATATATATATATATATATATATATATATTGCACCTACGAGGATATAATTAATTAAGGCTCCTGGCTCCTCGCATTGTCCAGCTCTTTTTAATGACGTCAAAAGCGAGAAGATGCATGCTAAAAATTCTTGCGAAATACGTTGAAATAAAAAGACATATCTATAAAGTGACACTTGCAATCGATTAAATAAATCTGTGCAATATTCCGTGCATTCCTCTTTTGCTTTAATAATCAATAATTTGTCGTAAATTGACCTGAATAGAAATAGGTTAAGAAGATGAATTGTATGTCACGTTAATTTACGTTAATTTACGTTAAATTATTGATTGTTAGAGCAAAAGGGGAGTGCACGGAATATCTTACAAACTAGTTTAATCGATTACAACTGTACTTTATAGATACAACGTATGTCGCCAGAATTTCTAGCGTACATTTTCTCTCTTCTGACGTCATGAAAAAGAGACAGACGATGCGAGGGGTCAGGAGTCTTAAAGCCCGTGATTAATTAAAGTCGATATCGAGATGCGCGTGTCGCAGTAACTTTTACGTGGCGCGTTTGAGGAAACGTACAGGCAACACTATCGTTGTATCGCGCCGCGTTTTAAGTTCGCGCGACGCGTCACGTATCGCACAACAAATTATCGGTTCGTCGAATTGGCATTAACAACCGCCTGTTAGCCGGGACCGGCTAGCGATCGCTCCGGTCGCCCTATGGAACGCTCTTCGCGATCGCGATTAAATCGCCGCTAAATATATGTCTTTCGTGACGCCCGTCTGCGTGCGTCGCATCTCGTTGCGTGCATCGCGCGCTCCAGATGCATATCCTTTCGCTGGCTATCTCTGTCTCCGTGTAGAACTGAATTCTACAGGAAATCATTCGCTCGCTACGCGCGGCCTATGGAATAATTTTCCTCCTAAACAGGCTCCTTCGTAGTGCACGCACTTCAGACAAATCGGAATTCTGTAGTATTTTGCTGAAGCGTGGTAGATGCGTCAACTAATGTTCGATGATGACGGCCACTGGCTGGTTGGATAATTGATTGACTGACTGACTGACTGACTGACTGATCGATTGATTGATTGATTGACTTGTATTCTTACGGATTTATATTGTCTTGAATGTGGACATATCTCGTCATTTCTCTCTGTCACACTCTGATGACATGATAACTTTGATGATGATGCATCTCTTTCTCCTAATTACTTAAATTGCTGTGCATTATAGGATATCGCGCACGCATATCTGTGCATACGCGATATTCTATAATGCATAGCAATATTGTCTTGCCTTTTTATTTCTTATTATCTTTTTATGCAATTTGCGTTCACTGATAAAATAGTTTTGTACGCTTGAGGGGATATTTCTCAGAGTGCACAATAAATGGCGCTTTCTCTTTCTCCTCCCTGTGCACGTCATCCTGCGAAATAAATGTGTTCTCTAGTTTCAATATTTTTTTTTCAATAACGAACCCATCGACTAATTTGTAATTAAATTTCCCTTGGCGAAAATATTATTGTATTGACGGCCGAAAACGCATCGATATTGTAACAACGTTGTAATTATTATCTATTCGCGATGTATGAAATTGATAAGGAAACACGCTTTGCGCGCGCGCGTGTTGAAGAATGTCGCAACAAAAGCTGCGCGTCACTCAATTGTCGATATCGATGGCAATTTCCCTCGCGAGTTGCTGCGGATAACTCGCGATAATAATAGAGACGCAGATACTGTTGATGGAACTATCAGCGGAACGTGTTCTCGATCAAGCATCAGTCATGAGCGTAGCACTGTATACACGCGTCATAATAAACGTTACGGCGTTATAGCATGCGATTGAACAGCGTTGCGTACGTCTTGTTAAGCAGCGTTAATCGATATTCGTCCGGCCACACATAATATAGTAAGGATAGGCGTATGGAAGAATCTCGCTGCTCATCGCGTTATTTTTGATAACGTTAATCTGCAAGAGAAAGTATCGTGGACTGCGTTAAATGTTGAAACGGCGTCTGGTTTTCCCGCAGCTCGGCTCGCTATCTCTGGGAAAAGCAATTTGACCCACAACTTTCCTGCGACACCGCGAGCGAGAGTGCACCTGCACCCGCGCCGCATAACCCGCTGTGAAACATTACACAACATCTTGCGCGCGTGCACGCCGCGGATACCGTTTCCTCTGGCTTAACGCCCACCGAATAACTGAGTTGAATGCGTTACATCAAAAACGTAACGGGGCAAATCACCGTTTCGTTGTTCCGCGAATTATGATTGTAATTAAATTTCCCTTGGCGAGAGTATTATCGTATTGGCGGCACACGATACAGTGTCAACAATGAGCGCACAATGACGAGTTTCCGCGTGAAGCGCTATCGCGTAAACTTTCCGAGCGCCTTATCGAATCTCGACGATAATTATCGTTAACGGCGGTCGAATTTATCGCACGTGTGTCAGCGAATATACAGATCGCTATAAACACAAGTGTTACATCGCGCCGATAATGAAGTTGCGTTTCTCTTTGGCATATTAATCGCGCAATCCATTAAGAATTCTCCCATCGTGCCGTGAAAACAAATACCTGGTGTAATAGCTCGAGCTGTCTGGAAACGAGCTCCTCTCAATGAGCTACGCTGAAATAACTGACCTGCTCTTCTATTCTGTTTCCCGCAGCCAGATGGACGTTGCCTTTAACGGACGTTCTGGCCGTCCGCTACGGGGACGACTGGATACCGGGTGTCAGCGTTAAAGAGAAGCAACCGCCGACGCAGTCGACCTCGCCCACGGTTTGTCCGACGAATTTCATTCTGCATTACGCGGTGCGCACGGCGAAAAACAAATGGAAGCACCACAGTGTGACGATGAGCCACACCGATCCGCGGCAGGTCGCCTCATGGGTGAAGACTATACGGAATTATCTGTTAGGTGAGTTCTCTCTGCGAGAAGCGCGAAACGGGACTTCACGCGCTGAGAACGGAAATATATATATATTAATATATATTTAATTATTATTTTTAATATTAATTGGTATAAATTATATTTTCAGTGCCAACTATAATTCTTGTTTTAACAAAGCAATTGTAGTAACAATATACAAAGTTATTACCAATAACATATATATATATATATATATATATATATATATATATATATTATTGGTAATAACTTTGCATATTGTTATATAATAATACATATATAATGTTATATAATAATATATATATATATATATATATATATATATATATATATATGTTATTGGTAATAACTTTGCATATTGTTACTATAATTTGCATATTGTTACTATAATTGCTTGTTAAAACAAGAATTATAGTTGGCACCGAAAATATAATTTATATCAATTAATATTAAAAATAATAATTAAATTAAAATAATAATTAAATATTATATCAAACAATATTAAAAATGTAATTTATATTAATTACACTAGTTTTTTTAATCGATGGTAGACGTAAGATCAACGGTTATTTTCCCTCAGCGCGTCGTAGTCGCGAATCTACCGACGATTTCAACCGGAAAATTTATACGCGAAGTGTGAAAGTATTTCGAATAAATGACGATGTATTTATTCCGTCTGCAAAACAAGAATGGTTTTGCAATTGACCTCACGTGGAACAAACTTGCACCGCGAAGATCTTCACCTCGGGATAAAAAAAAAGTAACTCTGACGTAATACGATTCTTCAAAGAATTAATTTCAGGGATAATCGCGCGGAAGGATCGAGACGGGTCGCGCCGTGTGCGCGACGGAGTCGGCGGCTGCAGCCGCGAGTATACGCAGCAATTTGTTATTTCAGCATAATCCGAAGAGTCGACAGTAGCTAATCGCCACATTAGAATGCACGCGCTGCATTTCTGCCCGGCGCTGCATGAACGCGTTCGAGGAAACGAGCGAATGGTAAAAAGCATTATTAGTCGCGTGTCTACCGAGCGACATGAGTTCTTTCATCAGCGACGACTGCGACGGCGACGATGGAAAAAGCCGATTGTCTATGAGGAAAATAGACCGAGTGAATTCTCTCCATCGGTGGAGCATAAATATGACGCACAAATTACTAGGAAATCGCTGTATCCTGTAGCTGATATCACACAACGCGTCTGTTTGCACGAGTATAAAATATTGTTTCGCGCACGTATCAGAGCACGCGGAAACTCCGTTTTACGAGAATAGAGAGGCGATCCTCTCTTCGCTCTCGTGCCAGGAATGAAGCAGCGGGCAAAACTGGACGTTTCAGAGTGCGTTCAAAGTCAGAGGCGCAGTATGCAAAGTTCTAACGGTTAGCTAACCCAGTTGGGGTCGACGTAAATCACGATAAAAGGTTCACGGAGCGCGAGTGTATACGCAGTGACCCTAAAAAGCATGCGACTGCGACGCGGGTCGGCGAGAGTTACCTTTCGTCGCCTCTGGTCTCTTTTGACTTCACAGTTCCGTCGTTTGTAAATTTCGATAGTTCATCGGCCTGATGAGCGAAACCACCGCTTCGCGATCTCTGGCTTATTTAGTCGCGCTGAATGAGAGTCTGAAACGGGACACGATTTCTCGCCGTCGCTCGGTATACGTGACGTGCATCGCCGCCGCGTGCACCGATGTCCCGAGAGAGGGCAAGTTTTAATGAATGTCGAGAAAACAGAGATGGGGGCGTGCGCTAAACTACCCCTGTCGACGGTCGCGAACGAATGGCCACAGTATTGATCTGGGGAGTTCGGCGTGCCGGCGGTGTAATGACGCTTTCGTCAAAAAGACGTTCGATTATTGACGTTACATCGCCGCTGGTTTCGTCGTCAGCGTGGGGTTAACTCGATCGACGTGCTCCGAGCTGGCACGATTGCATCATGACGTTAATTAAACATCGGACTACTTTGTGCGGATCTTTTAGGTATCGCGTGATCAAACGAGTCGAATTTAACTTTAAGTGATCGTGCTTTTTTTTCCAGGTCTGACGCACCGGCCACGAAAGGTCATGCTGTTCGTCAATCCTATAGGCGGCAAGAAGAAAGGCGTAAGGATTTGGGAGAAGGACGTCCAGCCGCTCATGACCATCGCCGGTATCGAGACGAAAATGATCGTGACCGAGCGGGCCGGCCACATACGCGACGCTCTGCTCACGGCCGACTTAAGTGACCTACATGTGAGTCCAGTTCAGAGCTGCTTGTTATTTGTCTCGCTTTTCCAGAGTTCGAGTTTATAGAACTCTGATAGAAAAATATTCATATAAATTCAGAAAAAGGATCTACATTCTCTTTCTCTCTCTGTGAATATATTTTTATAATTTATAAAATTGTATATTAATGAGTAAAATGTATATGAGATAGAGAGATAAATTATATAATATAAATTATATATATATATATATATATATATATATATATAAAATATGTTATTATATATATAAATAACAATTATGTACGTAATATATATAATTTTTTATTTAAATACTCACTAAAGAGATATCTAAATTCGTCGACTTTTTGAACTTGTACAATTGTCGAAAAAGTCACATTCAGTGAACGTAAAAACCATGCTTTTCTCATAAACTCTCGCTGCGCGTTTTAGGCGGTGGTGTGTATCGGCGGCGACGGCACGTTCGCCGAGGTCTTCAACGGGTTGGTACTGAGGGCGGCAAAGGATCAGCAGATCGATCCGAATGACCCTGACGCGAGGCTGCCGAGCCCCGCGCTGCCTGTTGGCGTTATACCCAGCGGTAGCACCGATACGGTGGCCTATAGCCTTCATGGCACCACTGACGTGCAAACCGCGGCCATACATATCATTTTCGGCGACTCGATCGGCCTAGACATCTCGTCGGTGCACAGCAATCGGAACCTGCTCAGACTATACGCCAGTGTTCTCAGTTATGGATATTTGGGCGATGTGATTCGTGATAGTGAGAAGTTCCGCTGGATGGGGCCTCAGAGATACGATTATTCCGGTGAGAATTATTCCGACACAGAAATCCCTCGCCTACACTGGCTGCAAAAAGTTACCAAGTTGTGCAGTTATCATATAAACCGATGTGATCTAGTTTTCCTCCGTTCTCAATTCCAGACACTCATTAGCTCAATGTCGAAATGATTTGCGCCACATCATCGTCTATTGAGTCCTCAATTAATGATCTTGACCTTCTTCGATGTAGTTATATCACTTTACGATTCCAGAAGTTTGCCATGCAAATTTGTTTACTGCATTTGCGTCATTTAATAAAAACGGGTTGTTTTTATTAAATACACTTATACGCGACAAATACTTTTTTGCCTTTGAATTAATGAACTTCTTAACTTGATAGATCGTTATGACGTTTGTTTACGTTGGAAACGATGTAAATTGACGCAGAAAAGTTTCTGATATATTTTATCAGTCGATCTATACTCTTGAATATAAACAATATAAAAAACTAATAATAAATTAATTAAACTAATTAATCTCGTATCGAAAGAAGTTTGCACTTTTCGTAGCTAAAATATATATCTCTTGCCAAAATATATATTTGCATGAGAATGCGGTTCTTTCATAATCGTAAACATATCGACGTGAGAAATTGTTACTTGAAGATTGCCGATTTGATCTCATTGTTTGACAAAGGAGCACTGAGTTACACTCTTTTAATTTCAGGGTTTAAGAAAATAATCGCGAATAAGGGTTACGAGGGCGAGATCGAGCTGCTGTCGGATCCGTGCCATCCGGCGAGCAGCACCAGGTGCATGAAGAACTGCTCACGCTGCCTGCAACACATGCACAACAGCGTCCCCGACGAGGAAATCGCCAGTACGTGTTACAAGATAGAAAATAGGTGCTACAAAATCTAATGAGACTTGTGTAACTGATTACATAACACTCTGACGGTATTGTTTGCGCAGGGTGGGTGACAGTCAGAGGGAAATTCTTCATGGTGAATGGCGCGAACGTGTCTTGCGCTTGCTCAAGGAGTCCCATGGGTTTCAGTCCTCATTGTCACATAGGCGACGGCTGTGTGGACGTTATTCTAGTGCGACACACGTCCCTGATCAACAACATCAGGCTATTACTCAGGCTCTCCAGCAAACGAAAGACTCTGGTACGCGAGAGAGCCATGGTTACTCGCTCGACTGACATATTCATATCGCCCTCGGAGTTTGTTTTGTGTACACTGAGAAAAAAGATTGTTAATCTCATTAGAAATTTAAGCAATTTAAGGCATTTTTATTAATTAACAAGAAAGCTATGCATGTAAAATTATCACCTGGAACACTACAATAGCAATAGCTGAAAAAAGAAATTAATTTTCCGACTGTTATTTTATTATGAGATCATAGTCATAAATAACAGACATTTTTTCTCAGTGTAGTCGTTAGATCGATCGTTCAGCTTGCAAACTTTGCTCGGGGAAATATTCCGAGGTTGATTCCCGAGGCGAAAATGAACGAACGCAACTTTCGCAGTATGATCTACCGTTCGTCGAGGTCTACCGAGCGAGAGAATTCACATTCCGCGCCCAGTCGATGCAGCATCTGCAGTCCGAGAGCGAGATCAATCGCCTCGGCTCCCGCATCAGCGTGTGGAACTGCGACGGCGAGGTGATCGACAGCACCAACGTGAAAATCAGGTGAATAAACGAACGGTAGATACCGGTAGATGCGTCTAGCCTCGGCGAGGTCGTGAATTTATGCACGAGTGTCATGCTCAATATTTACGCGCATGTACAGGGTACACTGCCAACTGCTGAAGGTCTACACGAGACGCGCTCAAGAACCGGTTCGGGAAACGTCCTGCTTCTCCGCTATGTGAACGAAGCGGCCGGAGGGGAAGTTCGCCGACCGAGCCGTCGGCCGAGCGCCACGGCGCTCTCCAAGTTCGGCACAAAGTTCCTCAGTCTTGCCCCGCTGTTCAGCGTCGCGATACTTCACGGCACGACGACCAGCTCTTCAGGCTTTCCTTCTTCTTTGGAGATATAAACGATATTTATATTATTTTACAAGTAATATTAAGGGTGAACACTTGGAAAATCGACGAAAGCCGGACACCGGAACGGCGCAATGCAATGCGCGTATTATGCTCCGCCCCGTTCGTCTCCCTCCGAGAGGAGAGCAGTCCGTTTCTCGTAAGCCTCGCAAGAACCTAGACCGCGTTGATCACGCGCAGCTATCGCACTCGATCGGTATCGAGTGATCACTACGAAGTAGTGAGTAAACACAGGCGACTAATTCAAAGCGGAAACAAAAGGATCATCACCGCGATGCAACACGCGTCACTGCGGTTTTCGCACACACGCAAACACACTGTCGCGCGCTCGTGCCTCGCCGAATTTAATTTCTAATTTTCTCCAACGTGCTCTCTTTGTTATTCGGTTCGACGATTGTTGGCAAGATTTTAGCGCGCCGCTCCCAGAATACCGGAAACACTCCACCTGTTTGCCAGAACCGCGGTGACGCCCGAATAATTTTGTACGCGCCTCGCGCTGTGTTGCGTTGCGTTGCTAAAAATGCTCCCTAACGGCGCTGTAATGCGTTCCATGCATCTCTTGTTTGCGCAACATTTCTACGAGGAAAGCCGACCACGACGACGACGATTTCTTTCGTCTCGCGCGCGACAGTTCGTCAGGAGTCTTGTTAAACAATGTGACGTTTCGCAGTATACAAGAGACGAGAGAAATTAGTGCGTCGCGTATTGTCGCTAGCGGGGATAATTTCACCTGGAATTGCCGTCCTTCGCGCTTCACAATGTCTCGCGCGTGTATTAATTTTATACACACGATATGCGGATCTTTCAGCTCCGGAGACTGTATTTGTCACCAGGTCTTTCTTTTTTAGCTGAACTTTCCGAACTGATACAATAAGTATACAATTGGTGCAAAAAGTTAAAGTGAAACAAATATACTTTACTCAACAATTTTACTTCACTCCGATTTATTGCACCAGTTCGAGCAGTTCAGCTAAAAGGGACAGACCTATGATCTCGCGATACACGGCCGAGTGGAGAAGGAAGGGGGAGGGAAGGGATCATAGAGGGGTGGACGGATGGATGAGTGACACATCGGCCGAATGTACTTGTACATTTTTTGTACTTAAGACATTTTCATTATATCTATCATTATGCCTACCGCGATTTCAGGCGATCGGTGCTTGTTGTTTCGATTTATCGCGCTCGTTGTTGATCGCAGATTTTATCCCGGAGAGACTATACAATTGCGCCGCAGTGATACAATTGTTTTTTTTTATAATCCGAGTGATTCTCGCGCGCGCGCGTAGAGAATTAATCCTCGAATGTGAACGCAATCGTATTGTGTTGCGTGACCTGCTTGGCAGGTGAGAATCGGAGCTTTTTCGCCGTGTCTCGGCGAGATACTTTTTGTAAAGACAATCAAGATGCACAGTAGAACGGTGCTTGAAGCGTTACGCGAACCCGGAAGCTTAGAGCCTGAGTTGCGAGTCGATGCGTTACGCCGGTCTCTCGACCCTTATAGAAATATCATATTAAGAATCATTGATAATTACTTATTATCCAGTATTTTTAATACTGAAAATAAGTAATTATCAATGATTCTTAGTATGATATTTCTATAAGAGGATAAGCTTCTCTTCCTAGCAGTATTCGTCTTGATTCGCGAAAGTATTTAGATTAGCAGTATTTTTACATTAATTGTGAATAGAATGGCGAGAATGTAATTAACGGGGCGAGCGAGTAATTTGTGACATTTTTAGATACCGACACCGATTTCTCTTGGTCAAACAAACGATCGTGTAATTTATAACAATCGTGAAAGAACGATACTCTTACTTATTTGACATGGTTCTAATCGCGTTATTAAAAAATGCATTCGATATATTTGTATAGTTTTTTCAAGGTTTTAGATCGAGACTTTCCGAAACTACTCGATTTGTCCGTCGGTGGGAAGTCAATCGTCGCGTGGCACGAAATGCAACAAGACGCTCGGCGCGCTGACGCGTTCAACAACGACTCTCTAGTTAGGCGTTCATATATAGCACGTCATAGGTGTCCTTATCGCGTTTCTAATGGCTGCTGTTTCGCCTCGCGCAGAAACCCCGATAGACGTTACACACGGTGTGTTGAATCATTTGTGGCAGGAGCGTGTGTGTTATCAGGCGGCGATATCGGAGAGCGACACAAGCGGCATTATAGGCACGTCACGTCAACTAGCTGACTTATCAAAGATTCATCGTCTTTAAGCTACAACGCGACTCGATCGTCACGCTCGACGAGACAACTTGCGGTCGTAGTTAGAGAGCGATACGATACACGATAACTAACCTAGGGCGTCAGAAATACTACTTCGTTAACGTCAGAAATACTACTTCGTTAAGGCTCTTCTGGTCCCACTGCTACGTGGAACTCTGAATTGATGATCAGAAGCGAGAAAACACGTAGTAAAGAATTCTTGCCTGCGGTTTACAAACAAAGAGATATTTGTACGAAAGAACACTTGAAGTTACTCATACTTCAAATGTGTTGAACATATCTGTAAAATGCCCTGAAAACTACTCCTTTACAATCGATAAGTGGGTTTAAAATTAACACGGTATGTAATCTTCCTCTTTCACCTACCTTTCCTCGTAATTTTTTCATGTTAACTTTAAGGCTATTTATCGACTGCCAAAGGAGGATAATTTTTGAAGCATACTCACATAAGTATGTTCAAGTGACTTCAAATGTTTTTTCATACAAATATCTTTTTATTCGAAAATGGCATGGAAGAATTTCGACCATGCGATTTTTCGCTTCTAACGTCATCGATACAGGGTTCTTCAGCAGTGTGATCAGGAGCCTGAAAATTCACACATTACGCTTAATAATTTCATTTTTCTTTTTTCTTTTATTCACGATATATCATAGGATTTAGGAACAATCGTTATTACATCTCTGTTTTCCTCGTTTCTCTTCTTTCGCGACGCATCGTTCACGCGGCTAACTCCGCCAGTGTCTTCTTAAAAGAGCGGCTTACACTTAATGCAGTTAATTGATGAAGTAGTCTCCGGCAGGATTACGGTACGCGCGCCGTTATATATATATATATATATTGTACAGATGTATACATATATATTTTTTTTTAATCGCAATGTATTTATAGAAAGCGGAAGAGAAAGAAGAAAATAGAGAAAAAGAGAAAACGAGAGAGACTGGGGGAAAATACGGCGAAAATCAATGTGACGATTCATCGACGATGGTTATGTGTGTTACCGTTTTAATTCCTATTGTCGGGGAAAAGTGCACCAAATGACACGCGTGGTCGCACGTAATAAATTACCTTAACTTTCTATACATTGTGTCTTTTATTTTTCTAGAACTATCCTCTGCGATGCTGTTTCCATAGCAAGTAATTGCGATTAGGATCGTCAATAAATAGATTATGCGTCATAAAAACGTATTTATATTTTTATGTACAACAGAGATTTTTCTATCTACAACATAGACACGTGCGCCAAGCTATTGTGTATCAGCTATGTTACACGTTCCGGTCGTCTTTTAGTAGAAATCAAACTATTTCGTACCTTTCTAGTCAATACTCGTACGACTGTAGGATCTCGTTTTCACGCGTGCTGTTCTCGATGTACAGCTGATCCTTGGTGGCGGACGAGATTTTGAATACTACCGGGATTATGTTCAAGATCGGATTATTCTTCTGCAAACATCGGATCCAAGACAACAAGGAGTCCTTGCTCGACGTGCCGGTGGCGCACATCGCGAAGTACGTGCCGTCGTCTTGCTCGTGCATGGTCGGATCGGGAATCACTTCTCGTTTGTCCCAGAACGGTATTCTGATATCTGAGACGTCTGCAACGCAAATATACACACATTAGCATATTTCTTCAATCACGTGTTGAGTTCTAAGTTGAGTTGAGTGTAATAAATTCGAATTTTTCAGATCAGATAAAAAGATTATATTTTTATATAGAATTTATATATAGAATAGATATATATATAGATTTATATATAGAATTTATATATTTATTTATATATATATTTATATTTAGAAGATTATATTTTTATATAGAATTTTATAAAACAATGTAAGGTCTCCATCTTTTTAAACATCCTTATTATTTTGTTCTCTAAAGATAAACGTTTAAATTTTCACTTTTTAGAATTTATTATTTAAAGATATATTTAAAGACTTCTAATGTAGAATATATGTATATGTCCAATATGTTCACAAATTTTATATGTTGAAAATTTAAATATGAACATTTAAATACTTTAAATCTTTACATACAAACATATTTAAACTTTCCAAACATGCTGAATATATGTATAAATAAAATTTTGAAAGTCTAACATTTGCATTAAAAGGAGTACAATAAGAATGTCCAAGATTAGGTGTATATCCAGGAATTGATACTTACTACACAACCCAAGACATTTACTGAGCAACTACTCACCATCAGGGTCCTTGTAAACATCCTCTTTGATCCTAGCATCCCCCCGAAGCACAAAGTAGTCTATACAGTGATTTGCCACCCACACAGAGAACGGCCCCTCCACATAGATGGGTTTGGTGATGGGTTGCTCCTTCAACAGCTTCTGCTGCGCGTTGCTCATATTGGAGACGATCCACGTGTCCTCAATGGAGTCCTCCAAGTCCTTTGTTTTGAACTCGGTGACGGTGGTGGTCACGTCTACGCTGGACATCTTGTCGATCGCCAATTTCGCGAGCACTTGTGGGTCCTTGGGAATCGGTTTCGGGCACGGCCACGGGTGCAGATTGGCGAACTTGGGCATCCAGTACATCATCCGCCAGAACTTCTTCAGCGGCGCGCCCTGAGCGCCGAAGATGTTCAGCAGCATCGTCTGCACCTCCAGGTCGGGTATGACGCCGTTGTGCTCCATCTTGCAGAGCAGATCGATGGCCACGTACTGCTGCTTGGGGTAGTGCATGAACAGCGTCTGGAAGTAGTTAAGGGGTATGAACTTGCCTTTGGGCAGCACGTCCAACAGGTCCTTGTACACAGCCAGGTCGCGATTCACCCCGAATTCATCCATGTACTTGAGCGCGACCTGAATGAACTCTACGTGGCCGCGCATCAGCACGTTGTCCTTCTTGTACTGCCGCAGGATGTCCAAGTAGGCTTCCTTTTCCTTGTGATCTACGCTCTCAAAGGAGTGCAGCACGAGTGCGGTCGACTTGGACGTGCCCTTCTTCTTCTTGTCATCTCTGTTGTCATTCAGCTGGCTGCTCGTGTGGATGGCGTATACCGCTTGCATCGACGTACCTTTGAACCCGTGAGGCGGTTTCTTCAACAGCAGGGTGACATTCGACGCAAGCACGCTCCTCGTGATCCGGCAGAGCATGTCGATCGACGTGGCTCCTCGAATCGTGTCTAATACATTGCCGTCGTGTCTACGGAGAGGAGTTCCCACCGCGAGAATTTCGCGCGTGTGAGGTTAGGTTCTCCACAGCGAGCCAGACCAGCTAAACTCTGAAGATAATCTCTTCCGAAAGGTGAATGAAATTTGAGCCGGTTTTCAATTTGTTCGTGGGTTAATTATTTTGGTAATTGTATAGTTTAAAGTTCTCACCTTCGATTTGACCGGAACTCCTCATACTGTGTATTTTCACGCGTAAAAACCAAATATGAAAGTTAAAATCGTCGCTCTGTCCCGCAAAGCGAGGTATTAATCGTTAAAGTTAACGGGTATGACAGGTTATGAAATCATAGCGACGAAATGTAGCGACATCATATACTCCACACATATAAAAGTGCACGCATTCGAAACGTATGTGTATTTATGTATCACTTGTATTCATGACCTCTATACATGACAATACAGAAAAATGTATTGGCCAGATGCTGTTTATAGCCATCACTACTTCGATTTTTCGTTAAAGAAAGGCTGCGTTCAGAGGATCGATTGTGTATCTCAAAACAGAGTGAAGATGACAAAAGTGAGAAAATTTACTAGAATATTTGTAACTTCATTGGTCAATGCCTAGTGAATTTGTTCACTTTTGTAATTTTCACTTCGTTTCGAGATACACAATCGACCCCCAGATTCCACATCCGGGTGTATTCTATTACTAGAAGTGCTATAGTATATGTAACGTATAGTGTTTCTAGTAATAGAGGATGCTTTCCAATTGCTTAACACATCTTGACACACACGTACACAAAACCAGTTTATTGGTCACGTATTATCTAAAACATCTTGTAAGATAATAAGCAACCAATAAACTAGTTTTGTGTAACAGTGTACGCAACTGGAAAGCACCCAGAGTGTACCCGGATGAAGAATCTGAACGCACCCCAAAGTGATGGCTCGTAGAAGAGACATAATGGCTCCTGCACACAGGACGCGGTAATGCTTGCCGCGCGGCGGAAGTCCATGCGACAGCCAATCAATATGTTGTTTTTCCGTAAGAGCTAGAAGGTTATTACAGAAAGCAGCATATTGATTGGCTGTTGCGCGAACTTCTGCTGCGCGGCAAACATTACCGCGTCCTGTGTGTAGGAGCCATAATGCTTGCCGCGCGGCGGAAGTTCGCGCGACAACTAATCAATATGCTGCTTTCCATAATAATCTTCTAGCTCTTACGGAAAAACAACATATTGATTGACTGTCGCGCGGCGGAAGTTCACGCAACGGCTAATCAATATGTTGTTTTCCCGTAAGAGCTAGAAGGTTATTACAGAAACCAGCATATTGATTGGCTGTCACGCGAATTTCTGCCGCGCGACAAGGGTTACCGCGTCCTGTGTGCAGGAGCCATTACTGTTCAATTCGTGTACGGCGCCCCTTACGGTATTTCTCGACATTATGTTTTACGTTTGAAGGTCCTCACACGTGAAATGACATAACCGCATGTGCATAGCATAAGACTATGGACCAATGAGCATCGAGTATTTAGCCGCCATATTGATGCATGATGCTCAATATTCGATGCTCATTGGTCCATACAGTTTTATGCTATGCACATACAGTTATGTTATTTCATGTGTGAGGGCTTTTACGGACAAAATTGGAGGGGATACAGAAAGCCAAATACTCGATTGGAATTGGTCGATTTCCTTACGTTTACGTCTAAAGGCCAAATCACACTAAAGGCCAAATCACACTAACGATTGGCGATAGATGATTGACGATTGAAGATTGGAACTTGACCAATTGGAACAAAGCAAATCAAGGCTAAAGCTTGTTGATTCGTTAAAATCTAATCTTTAATTGTCAATCGTTAATCGCCAATCGCTAGTGTGATTTGGCCTTAAGATTAACTATTTTTATTTTCAAGTAGTAGGATTCAACGATGGATCGAACTATTCGTTGAAGACGCGTCTGCAATGGCTATCACGTGACTTGCGTCATGTGACATATGTTTTGATGCAACATGGCGCTTCCGACTGTCAGACTGTTCGACCGTCAGATATGACGAGACAACTCCTGAAGTGATTTTAATATTTTTTGCGTCTTACTGTTTGTCACAGCAAGATGCCCGTCGACATTAATCGGTTGACGGAAGGTTGGCTGGAGCTGGAGAGTGACCCGGGTATGTCTGTAGTCTTAAACATTTCTGTCAGAATTCTGCGCATTTACCTAGTCTAGAGAAAGCGTACACGTCGATTTCTCCTCAAAACATCAAACTATGATGTTATTGATGTGTGACTGTTCAGGTTTATTCACGTTGCTGCTCGAAGACTTCGGTGTGAAGGGCGTCCAAGTAGAAGAGATCTATGATCTGCAGAAATCTCTGGAGGGCCCAGTATATGGCTTTATCTTCCTGTTCCGTTGGATTGAGGAGCGGCGATCCAGACGGAAGGTTGTCGAACAGGATGAGAGTTTTGTCAAGGACGAGGAGATCGTTAACAATATCTTCTTTGCACAACAGGTCTAGCATACAGTTCTTCTTTATGTAACTATAGAGATGTGCAAACTATTCGAATCGATTCAAGTGAAATTCGATTCGACTCAATTTCGAATCCCTATGATTCGAATTCGAATAATTCGACAATTTCGAATCAAAAAGTTTCGAATACGAATCGCACACCTTAGTATCAACGAAGTACTATTAAAGACATCCAGCTTTACGGGAATTAGCATGACTTGAAAAGTTTGCTATACATTAAGATTTTCTTCAAAAATATTAAAAGAAGATAATAGCTTTTAGATAAACTCTTACCGACAACTGTCGGATTGATATATGTCATTACGCAGCTTTCAAGGCTGGAACTGTATTTCATACACGTTTACCGACTATATATTATATTTCTTACCTTAAAATGAATTAATATCACATGATCAATGTTATCTCTCTCATACTGAAGTCGCTATTTTCATGTTGAATTCAATGATTATATTAATTAAAAATTCTTTCAATGATTCGATTCAATTCGGGTGAAATTTCATCGATTCGACTCGAATTCGAAATTAAAATCTGAGATTCGATTCGATTCGACATAAAACTTCTTTGATTCACATATCTCTTATCCAAGCTACAGTAACATATGGTATAACGTACAAAGTATAGGTCTGTTCCTTTCCAAGAATTTCTGGTGTACATTGCAATAAGAGTGAAATATTTTTGTTTCACTCTAACTTATTGCATCTGTTCAAGAAGTTCTTTGGAAAAGAACAGACCTCATGAGACATAAACACACATCTTAACTATAATTATCTATAAAACCAATAGTAGATTTTGCATCTCTCTGGGATGTATATGTTCCTACGGTAGTGAAACGGTTAACACGTAATTACAAGTTCCCTAGATTACACATAACTTTCAATATGTAACTTTGAATATTACAGGTTGTTCCCAACAGTTGTGCCACTCATGCATTGCTCTCAGTTTTGCTGAATTGCCCAAACATACATTTAGGCACGACTCTATCTCGACTAAAGATGCACACTTCGGGCATGTGCCCGGAGAACAAAGGTTGGGCGATTGGTAATACACCAGAATTGGCCTGTGCTCACAATTCACACGCGATGCCACAAGCGAAGAGACGACAGGACAAGAACACCGGTGTCTCGACGGGTAGATTCACAGGTGAGGCGTTTCACTTTGTGAGCTATGTGCCGATAAACGGCAGACTCTTCGAGCTGGACGGCCTGAAGCCCTATCCTATGGATCATGGTCCCTGGAAGGAGCATGAGGAGTGGACCGAGCAATTCAGACGCGTGATAACCGATCGTTTGGGCATGGCGACGGGCGAACAGCTGCAGGACATCAGATTCAATCTAATGGCCGTGGTGCCTGACCGGCGTCTCGCTATCTCACACAAGTTGACGATGCTGAAGACTAACAGGCAGATAGTTCTGGAAGCGTTGCAGCAGCTGGTGAAGCTGAGTTATCAGGACGGTAGTGGTACGGACAAGAGCTCGCACGACTCTGACAAGGAGAAACAGTACGACAAGAGAAACAAGACGGAGGACGAGAATGGAGTATCGGCTAAAACAGAAATCGAAGAGTCGACCACGACGATTCCTACCATCAACGTGGAGAGGAATAATGATTCGACGGTGGTTATCGATGAGTCCGTCTCCAGTATCACATCTGGCAAGACTGAATCCAAGTAAGTAACAACTAAACATTCTTTTAATAATGCTACATGCAGTTTTTGCTTTAACGACTTAATTCAGCGAAGTTCCGAAAAGCACAGAAGCAAACTTGATAAATGCTCGAACTTAATTAATATTTTATAAACTATATAGTTGTGATGATTACATAGTATAATCGTATACTATATATGGCTATATATTAAGTTGGTGCCAAAGATTTATCGTGTTTATTAAATGAAATAGAAAACAAAATTACCAAAAAATTTGAAAAATTAATAATTTTTACGAATAAAATGGAGCAACATTGACTCAATGTTTTTTAAACGAGAACTTTCTATTTTCGAGAATTTAATAGAAAAATGATAAATCTTTTGCATTCACCCAACAATATCCATATATATTACCTATATATATGGCTATATATATATATATATATATATATATATATATATATATATATATCAGGGTTGGGAAGTAACGAGTTACTTGTAACGTCGTTACCGTTACAGTTACTTTTTTTCGGTAACTATAACGGTAACGGCGTTACTTTTTCTGATCGGTAACTGTAATGGTAACGTAGTTATATTTATCCAGTAATGGTAACGATTAATTCGTTACTCTAATAGTTATTTTTTTGCTTTAAATCTATTAAATTCAGTCTGTACATAAGCCAGTAGCAATAAGCAAAATGACCAATCATAGTCCATCCTCAATCTGGCAGATTGCAATACCTTATACACTGCGATTAGCAACGAGCGATGAGCGATATCCAATGAGAGCTCTTATTTCTTCTTAAAGCAGAGTTCTGATTGGATATCGCTCATCGCTAATCACTAATGGTTTCACAGACCAGCGAGATGCACGACGCGACGCGCGATATACGATGAGTGATATCCAATCAGATATATTTTAGATATACAGGGTGTCACGTCACTACCACATTATCTTTTAAGGGCGTATTCTTGAAATAATTTGAATAAAAATCCTAATACAAAAATGGTGAGGCTATAATACTTTTCAAATTATAAACAATTAAAGTTGACCAATTATACTGGCTAAAGTACGCGCGCTCAGGTATAACACACAGTAGTACAGGTGCATGCACATGTCGTTCTTTTTCCAAATATTGATACGGAAGTTCTATACATACAACAATATATGTAATAATAATCTGCCTTTTCTATCATTTAAATAAACATATCGCAAATAATAACAATCTCATCAAAATGTTATGAATAAAATATCACACAATACATTTATGAGAATCAGTAAGCTGTTACACATTTGACGTTTCTTTCAGGAATTTATAACTAATTTCATATCTTATGTAAATTTTCACTTATGTGTATGCACTTGTATCATTGTGTGTTGTACCGTAACTGAGCGCGCATACTTTAGCCAATATAATTGGTCAATTTTAATCGTTTATAATTTGAAAAATATTATAGCCTCATTTTTAGGATTTTTTTCTTTAAATTACCTCAGGAATCCGTCCTTAAGAGATAATACGGTAGTCGCGGGACACTCTATATATCAGATATATTTATATCTCAATTTATTTTATCTCATATCTATATTCCACATAAATCTCTCTTTCCCTTCCTTTTTCGTCCATTTTCCCTTATCAAACTCATAATTAATCTTATTTTAGCATTTAAAAAAGTAACTGGTTGTGGAAGACTATCGCGATACACCGGAAAGACGACCAGGAAACTATGTATATTCGCTGTTTTGTCATTTATTGTTAAAGCGTGACTTATTGTTGTGACAATGTTCTGAACAGATTCTCTCTACTGTGGACAATTTTAAATGCAATTTGCAAAATAAAATAGTAAATTGCTATGTGATATATAGTATATATTATATAACCATATATATAATATATATATATTAAAAAAAAAAAAATATATATATATATATGGTTATATACAGGATGTTGAAAAAAAAGGGTCACATATTTTGATAGCAGGTAGTATTGATTAAAACAAGAAGAAAAGTTCTAATTAACATGGGTCCTAAGACTAATATCTTCTAAGATACAAGCTATTTTGTTATTTGAGCTCTTTGTTATTTTCTTATTAGTCGTGTCATCTTTAGAATATAATGAACAAAGGAATAGGGGAAAGTGGGGTACAATATCTTTTTTCTAGGTGCCTTAAAAAATAAAAAATTAACAAAGAGAGATAAAGAAACAATTTTTATTTTAATATGAAATGTAATCATTTATCTTCCATAAAAAAACTGAAGTAAAGAAACTGAATGTATGATAACAAAATAAAAACTCTTTTTTTACAAAAAACAAAAAATTTTAATGCTGACTCAGCATTAGAGACTTCAGTTTTGTAATGGAAGATAAATGATTACATTTCATATTAAAATAAAAATTGTTTCTTTATCTCTCTTTGTTAATTTTTTATTTTTTAAGGCATCTAGAAAAGAGATATCCCCATTGTACCCCACTCTCCCATACTCCTTTGTTCATTACATTCTAAAGATAATACGACTAATAAGAAAATGACAAAGAGCTCAAATAACAAAATAGCTTGTATATTAGAAGATATTAGGTCTTAGGACCCATGTTAATTAGACCTTTTCTTCTTGTTTTGATCAATACTACCTGCTATCAAAATATGTGACCCTTTTTTTTCAACACCCTGTAATATATACTATATATCACATAGCAATTTACTATTTTATTTTGCAAATTGCATTTAAAATTGTCCACAGTGGAGAGAATCTGTTCAGAACATTGAATAAGTCACGCTATATCAATAAATGACAAAACAGCGAATATACATAGTTTCCTGGTCGTCTTTCCGGTGTATCGCGATAGTCTTCCACGACCAGTTCTGTGACTGTGTATCTTAAGAATTTTTTTCGTTGTCGCAATCTCGATAAGTAGAAACGCGCTCGAAATCATGGCAGCGATTTGCGTTCCGTTTCAGCGGCATGGAGAAGGTGGTGATGTGCGCCTTAGACTACGCCACGCCGCTGCGAATTCAGACATCGCCGGCTCACAGCTCGTCGAGCACAGACACGTCGTCCGAGATCGGGTCGGCCTTCAACTCACCCACTCAAGGTATAAACGCGAGGAGGTCGTCAGTCTCGCGCTCATCGCGATGCAATACACAACCGTCTCGTCGTGCACACTCGCTTGCTGCGGCAGAATATCAAGGCGTTTGGGCACATCATCCGGATCGATTTGATCTCCTCGGAATTTGACGCGCTGTAACAGATGTAGTAATGGAAATCCGAAGTCGGATCCTTTACCTTACCGACCTCGCGGCACAGTTTCTCTTCCTTCTTCTTCTGCGTCGAGTCTTCGCTGTGCGAAGACTCGACAGAGTCTCCACGCTCCTCGTCGAGCTTCTGCTCGAAGAGTATCGTCGTCCCGTCCGTGGCACGTTCGTTGTCCCTGCAGGTCTTCGCGCTCTCCGTGTCGCAGATCCGCGAGTTGACGTTGAACGCAGTGTGGAGCGGGCACGAATACTCTACTATTATGGCCGTCTTCGGGTCGCACATGTAGTACTTGTTGCAGTCGGTCCGGTTCGCCAAGCGAACGTTCTTCGTGCACGTCAGCACGCTGACCGACCGCGGATTTAATCGCCGAGCCAGAACCTTGTACCTGTCGACTGTGAGGTATCGCTCGTTCCCGAAGCCGTCTGTGATTCTTATTATATTGTTGTCCGCGTCCAAACCGTCGACCAACAGCTCTAAGCTGTTTTTTGTCGGTGCAATCGTAACGTTCTCTGTCTGAGTCTCGCAGCTCTCTGTCGTTTCACTGCTCGGCTTGTGTGATTCATTGCCCGCGACCATGAAGCTTTGCACTAAATAATCCAGCGACACGTTCTGCTTGCGGTCGTGCGTCGCGAGCACCGCGATAGTTCCGGTAGGATTTACAGTCGTGATGTTGCTCGTTGAACCCGGTGATATCGCGGCTGACAGTTCTTTGTAGACGTGCAATCGACTCATCAGCTCGTGCAACAACTTGTAGTGCTCGTTCACGATGTCCTTGTACCTCTCTGTCGAGGCTGACGATGATCGTCTCCGATTGTTGATATATTCATATAAATATTTTTCCTCCTTGTGATACGACACGTTCCTCACGCCTCTGTCGTCATACGACGTCGTGGTCGTCTTATGCTCCTCGAACTCGATCAATGGGTATGGAGTCTCCGTTTCGGTCGTCAAGTTGGAAGTGTCGTCCTCTATCACGTAGGACGAGTCGATCGTCTCGGAGAACTCTGCTGGGTCCTGCGTGTATCCCAGGTAACTGGACTCTGTCTCATCTATCGACTCGGCTTGGTGCCTCTTCGTCACGAGGCTCGAGTCGGTGGAGAGCGTGTCGCACGTCCAAATGTCGCCCGGCACCACGCACACTCGCAGGTACGGCTGGAACACCTGAAACCAGCATCTGTAGTTAGTGTCGAGCGTATAAAAAATTTCTTTGTCGATTTCACGCAACTGTTTCGCGTCAGTCGTTCATTTGTACTTTCACCTTGTAAAAGTATTTTCAATCTGATGCATTCAATTAGGAGAAAAGAGAAAACTACGAAACTGCGCTACGTCTCTATCCAGCATCGCTTTTAAACGGCTTCGTCGTCTCTTACCAAGCCGTCCGTACATCTGGATGGCACCCACACGTAGCCACCGTCAGGTAGATTCACGCAGCTGTAGAAAATCGTGCAACTCGTGCGATGCGGTTTCTTCGGCTCCGGGCATTTCGATGAGCTCGTCAAGAAGATCAAGCTGCACACGAGGATCGACGAGAGCCACATGTCGCGAATGTCGCTGTGCGACTGCGTCTTTGTCGAGCTCGTCTCCGTCTCGTGGACTCGCGCTGCTGTGTACTTTTCGCGCGTACACGCAGGAGCCGTGCTTCTCGGAAGCGCGATTCATTTCGCACCTTCAAGCGTACAGTTACTTGACCTGTCCGTTACACATGTCGCTCGTCGTCGGTAAATAAGCGATGGAACGAGAAATTCGCGGATTTATACGCGATGAAGTTTGAATTGTCGCGAGATCGGTTGCGCAATCGCGATGAGAGTAAAGCTGTTAAAACAAAAGATGTTTAAAGGATGTACTCTTTGATTTTCCGTTAGCTTGGGGCTGGAATTCCGGCCAGAGCAGTCCCACGTCGACGAAGGACTTCAAGAAGTTCGTTGTGATCAGAGTCGCCGGGGACGAGAAGAATGAAGCGGGCTTGAGTGGGTATAAAAAATTGTTTTATACGATTTCAAAATTGATAATTGTCATATAATAACGGACTCGCACAGGCCGTTCTCTGGGAAATATCAATATAAATGGGAAGAGATTGGTGTCTGACAGCGGCCACTTGCACAAGAAGGTCTGCCTGTCGGGCGAGGTGAGGATCCCTCATGCGAGAGTGAAGACCAGCAACGGTGACACGGTGACGGAGGAGAAAAAGGTCGAGAAGATCGACCCCAAGCTGTGCTCCAAGTATCCGGAATTGTTTGAGCCGCATACGTTCGCGCCCAAGGATCTTTTGGCGTTGTTGAAAAATCTAGAGCATGAGATCACCGTGTGCGAGACCAGCCTGAAGGATGAGAACGACAAGAGGAATAAATACAAGGTCCGTTTTTCGCGCGCATTGTCCGCTCTGCTTTTGACAATGAGAAATAATTTACTAACCATAGAATCACACATAGTAGAATTATTGAAAAAAAATATGTCAAGAGGTGCAGAATTGTAGCAACTATTACTTTTATATAACTATAATTATAATATTATACTTACACATGTGCTAATAGTAGTTATTGCTACAAATCTGTACCAAGACACTTTTCTTCCAAGATATAAGATTTATTCGATATGTTATCGAGACTTTATAAGACCTGCGGAACTCTCCCTAAATTCTGAAAGTACTCTTATTGAAACCACTGTTCTATCATTGTATAAATATAATAATACAAATAGATAGAAACATAACGTTATATAGATATAATACTTATAGCGAATTAGTTTCACAAATTTTAGAGTCTCGCAGGTATCATGAAGTTGACCGTTTTGAAATGCCAATCGCACGCTCTACGAACAAACGGGAGAAGCAAGAGGAAGAAGTTAGGTCTCGAAAATGCAAAAAAATTCGAGCACTGTTCTTGATAACGTATTCTCGAGCGCTTCAGTCTCGAAGAGAAATAATGCGAAACAATAATAATAATCTTGCAGATCGACGATTGTCGACGGACGCATAATTACGACGAGTTCATCTGCACGTTTCTCTCGATGCTCGCCCAGCAGGGAAAGTTGGCGGAGCTGGTTCAGCAGCATCTGACGTTGAAGAAACACACCTCCGTCTCGGTGAATAGAGTTCACAAGTACGTCCATGCGAATTGTCAATCAAAGATCAGAGCCTTTTTTCAAAACCAGTTGTTGAGCTTTCGTAAAGTTGTTAAACAGATTCATCAAATCGTTGAGTCTATATGAAGAATTTAATTCGTTAAACGAAGTTGACTGCATCCTTCAATTAGAAGCTGGCAGCTTTTGAAATCGAATCTCGCTGAATTTCCAGGTCCTCCAAGAAATCCGACACTCGACAGAACTCGTCGCGCAGACGACGCGGCAGAACAAAATGCAAAAAGCGGAAGTAATCTCAGCGCGTGACTAAAGGGTTTAAAGACTTAGGGGAATTGTCATTCCGTTTGTCGGATTGTTTGCAACATCCGACACCGGTAGTTTTACCAGGATCATCATCATGCGAAGAGGCCATATACATGTAGATAGTTCCCAAGTGACGATCTTAGCGTCGTAGTTTCCGCTTGTCGTCCGACACACGGCGCGCGTATTCTAACTTCTTTCATTTCCATTGGCGTAACGCGAAGATGTTCTGTCAAGACGAAAGCTTCTGTGAAAGCACGATTGTTTTCGTTTCGAATTTTCGGTCTAATCTATGAGCACACAACAGAAATTACTTCTTATACTTGTACAAATTAACTTTACGCAATTGTATACATATATATTTTTTTATATTCTTTGTATCTAATTGTCCGATTGATATATTTGTTCGTCGTCGCGCCCTTTACTTCTTTCTCGCGGGGCGCTTGTATATGTATGTGTATATGTATGTGTGCGTGTGTGTATGTCGATGTTTTTTCTTGTCCGATATTTCTATTGTATTTCTCGTGTGTATGGAATACAAAATTTATCAAGAATTTGGAGCGCGCGTTGTGATCCGTCAACGTTCTCCTCTCTCTCATCCTCACCACGGCCGTAGTGCGTGAATCCTCGGGGAAATGTCGGGTGAGCGTACACAGTGCGCGAATCCTCTGGGCTGGAGACTTCGGGGGAAAACACACAACACGGCGGTCTTGTCAAAAACATTGAAAATATTTATTTCGGTATTCATATACAAGTACACTACACGCGCTGTGGATATGTCCCTTAGTGTCTAAATACTTACATCTCCGAGCAGCCGGAGAAAGGGGGGAACCGAAGCTTAATAAGATCGGAATTATACATACATGATTATCGCGGACGACTTGGTTATCGATCGCCTGAGTCGCTTTTATATACCAGCAGTAGTGCACATAGGAACTGTATAGTCGAAAACGCGCGCGAGTCATTTCGCGGAGGGAGTGTGAGAGGGAGGGAGAAGGAGGAGAGGGTACAACTTAGATGGGACACGGGGCGAAGGGCGGGTAAAAAATACGTTCGTTCCTTCTCCGGCCGACCTTGCTTCGCGGTCCTCGTAACTGCTTTTTGGCAAAGGTGCGATTGTATATGTACAATAATATATATCGGCTCTCTCGCGATCGTCTGAGGCGAGCGAGGCAGAGGTGCGCGAGTAATCAGTGTGTCTGTGTGTGTGTGTGTCTGTATATGTATGTGTGTTTGAATGTGTGTGAAAGAAGAAATCCGGAATCGCACGAGACCGAGTCGTCAACTCGCTGATTGGAAATTGCGAATTAGCTCGGCAGAAGACGATCTATTTACATGCACACGGTACAATGTCTTCGTTCCTCTCGCCGTCGTCGACCGGCGGCTTCGCTTCGCCGACGACAACGGCGGTTTCGCGCCTCTTCGATTCGCGAGACACGCGGCGAATGATTCCGTCGTTATACAGGCACTCTCGGTATTTTACAGCGACGCGACTGCGAGAACGGTGTCCTACACTACACTATCACTACGTTCTTGTATCCTTTACAGCGCGCGGAGCTCGACGACGATAGCTTATCTCACTTATTGCTACTGGCTACGTTGATCCTCGCGTGCACATTCAAGTCCTGTCGCTTCGGTCCTTGTACCTCGCGGTCATGTGCGGGTTCGTTTCACGTACAAACATACCGTACAAAATCTGGAGCATTCACGCTGGGGAGTGGAGAGAGAAAGAGACATGAAGGGGAGAAAGAGAGAGGAATACAATGCGAGATCCTTTCCGACGCGGACAATAGCCAATCTTTCTTTCTCTCTCTCTCTCTCTCTGTCTGTCTGTCTCTTTCTCTCTCTCTCTCCCTCTCTCTCCCTACGCGGGTGACGGGACTTGAACACGGCCTCTTTTTGACGCGCCTTCGTCTATAATCGTACGCTCGCGAATTCTTCACCATCGTCGGTTCGCGCTCCGCCGTATAACATAGGCGATTAGTATACAATAAATAGGGGATGATGCGGTCCTCCGCGGGATCGCGGGTTAAAACGTCGTCGGGTTTCGCGCTTCTATCGCTCTACGATATCACATATGGTATTAACGAATGGTTGATCGATCGGGACGCTGATGAGCGAATTCCCGGCGATTCTCGCCGACTTCTTCGCGACTGCACGTCGCCGTTGCTTTCGTTCTCTCTCTTGTCATCGGATCGCAATCCTCGGATTGTTTTTCTCTCTTCCCCGCTAAAGCCAGACGCGCGCCGGGCTTGTTATCTTCTCGTCGTGATTTCGAAAAGAGTCAATCTACTTTGGTTCTATATAATTGCCGTGCCGGAAAGTCGGCGACACTTCCGCTACGACCGACGACTCCTCCATCGTCCTTCTATCTCGAGCTCCTTCGAGTCCGCGACAATCGGGCGCAGTACACGCGTTTACACATAGTTCGTCGTTTTAATGATGATATCGAAAAATACATTAATTTGAAAAATATATGCATATATGTATATCGAGTGTGTATATATATATGTATATATATATATATTTCTTGTAAGTATATATGCTATGTATATATATATATATATATTACATACACCTATAGGCTCGCTTAATACTTCAACACTAAATTCCGCCTTCCGAGAAGATTTTCCGCAGCGAATATTGTACATTTAGAGTCGACAGATAGCGTTCTCTCGTACGGCGTTTTGTAACACAGATGCACTTTCGTTTCGTTTATACATATACATATATACAGACGTGTTGCTACTACACGTCGATGTCGTAGCAATACGATTAATAGCAAAAGTATAAAAAGGAGACAGTCGGCGCAAAGTCGGGCGAGAACGGACGCCGCGAATGTTAAAGCGCAACCTCGCTGTTCTCTCTTTCTTTCTTTCAAGTTACATCCGGATCAATGGAGATGACTCGAAAGTTCGTTCTCCTCGATCTATAATTTGTATTCTATCTGTAATTTTGTGTTGTCATTTATAAGTAATCTCGGTCTTCCGAACTTTTTCGAAAAAGAGAGAGAGAGAAAGAGAGAATAATTTTCTCCGTCAGTATGTGTCGTGAATTATAAATCGTCCCGAGTGGACTCCGCGTCCAAGAGTGAAAAGTTTGAAGACCGGTGGAGCTTCGCGGGAGTTCCGAGGCGCGGCTGCTCTGATGCGATGGCGAGCGAGTGAAATAAACGAAAAGTGAATTCGAAGTGAGAGGCACCGATGAACACCGAATCTTCGAGATTTCGCGGAACATTATTTTCGAGAAAAAGTCAACGTCAAAGATTGACAGTGGACAGAAGTTCGGTCTTTTTGGCAATAAATAAATAATTGTGAACGCGGTCGCCAGCTTCGTCTCTCGAAGCTCCATCATGCTCCACTCGCCGCTTTACAACTAATACTCGCGAAAAAGAAGCAGAAGGAGTAGAAGACGATGAGAAGAAGAAGAGGAAGAAAGGAGCAGATGAATGGATGACGATGGCAGGAGAGAAATAGGGATGAAAAGACAGAATTCCTGCTCCGTACGCGAGAATGGAATCGTTATGTCTGAGACGGTAGTGAGATAGCCGGTTGCGCAACTAATTATCAATTCGGGGAGTAAACCTCGGGGTGGTTAAACGGCACGCGGATCGCGGCGACTCGCCACCAACCGAGACAGCCACGGCTCTCGGCTCGACCCGACTCGCCTCGCCGCGAATACGACTGCTCGGATCAACAAACCTCGCTCTAGTAACGGTATAATGGTGAATAATAGAAGAACGATTAGCCTACGGGTCTTACAACGTACAACTTACGAACGCTACGGGTAATCGCGTCGCTCTTAACTCCTACCGTCGCTCCGGTAGGAAAGTGGAGAAAAAAATCGCTCCTCCCGAAACTTCGACCGGCAAACCGCCCAGAGACACGGGCACAGACACACACACACATACACACACATACACACACGCATACCTCGCACGTAGTCGGGAACCTTGCGAACGGGGTCTGACTCCTCCTGCTCGACGTATCACAATAAATTATAATTTTCAACGAAAAGGAACGGTCTCGCGAGGGTTCCGGGAAAGAGAGTAGTCCGTCGGTCCAGCCGGTCGAAGGATCCGAAGTATTGCGGACGAGACGCTACGGCGTTCTGTCGCATTCGCCGCGATACAATTGTTTACGCGAGATGACTCGGGAGTGTGATATACATTAGACGCTGCGAGTGTTTTGAAGCGCCGCATAGACCAATAATGGCTTTCCTTTTGGCGCTTCAAAGTGCTTGCAGTATCTAATGGGATCGCAGCTCGCGGCGAGCAGATCGGTAGTAAACCCAGCCGCGATGTCCATCTGACAATGTCAATGAAATTGTTGTTGACAAGAAGTTGCCCGACTAGAAAAGTATGCCCTGCGTGGTTGAAGAAGTAAAAAATCGGGTCCTGATTAACCGACTCGCATCATCCACTTTAGCGGACATTGAGTCGTCTAATTTCTTTTCTAGTTAATTAAATATAGATATCAATATATTATCTTCACAAATATGCGTGAAAAAGAAATCTAAACGAAGTAAAATAAGATCCAGAAAAATGTTGGAGAGAGTAATAAAAATACACGATTAAGATTCGACAATATTCGTATTTTGATGGATTCATGGGCGAATGTCAAGCGAGTACTACCCATCTGCTCTTGTAACACCCGCCTGAAAAAAAGAATTCTTCTCGCGATCTTCTTGGAACGCTATATTCAACTCGACGTCATCAGCTTCTTTCGCGACGATCCAAGGATCCGTTCGTCCATCGAATGCTTCAAACAAACGACGACTCCTCGTGGTCGTCGTCGTCATCGTCTAGTTGTTCAAAGAATCTCGGCATCCAGCCGGAGAGAATCCAGCGATGGAAAGGGCTCATACGAGCCGATTCACAGGGTCGCGCGCACCTCTCACGGTCCGCTGACCGCGGCGGCGGCGGCGGCGGCGGCATTCGACGCCAAGCTATGCACCGCCACCAGGTTGTCGGCTGGTTTGCCGAAGCGGAATATCGACTGTAGCGACGCTACCTCAGACGCCAAACGGTCGAGCTTCAGCTTCACCTCGCGGTCGCTGTCGGAGACCGCGGAGACATTCGGACCTGTCCATTCGGCGCCCAACGAGATCCCGGAGTCGCGCTCATCGCTGGAGCCCTCGTTGTCCCAGGGTGGCGACGCCCTTGCGCCGGGCTCCTGCTTGATACCCTGAAGAGCCAAGAGCGCGCTCGCGGCGTCTTTGTCGCCGATGCGCGATTTGTGCCTGAGTTTGTGCGGCAGGCTGTTGTTGGCGGCCGGGTTTTGAGAGCTGACTACCAGCTGGGGGCCTTCGTCACCGCTGCCGGACGACAGCTCGAAGGGCGACTGTGCCCTGCGACCACGGGAGAGATTGAGCGCGCTCGTGGTATCCAGATGCATCGCCGTGTGCGAGTACGGATACTGGAAGCTCTCAGTCTCCGGGTAAGCCGTGGTCTCCGGCACATAGAGCTGCGAGGCGGGCGACCTCGGCGACCGTGCGCCGCTCACCGGCTGGTGGATCACCGACGTGTGCACCGGACTCGGCGTGCGGGTGGTGTAGATGAGCGTAGCCGGGGTCGGTATCTTGGCCCGCTTCACGGTGATCGTCGGCTCGCTCGGCAACGCGGCCAACACGTGCTCCGGGTTGATGATGGCCTCGCCGCAGATGCCGTATTTGTCGCGTATCGCCTCCAGCTGCGCCTTCAGTATGTGGTTTTCCTTGCTGAGCTCCATCACCCGCTGCTCCAGCACCATGTCGTTGAAGCGGCGCTTCTCGCGCGACCGCTTCGCTGCCTCGTTGTTGCGCCGCCTGCGGTCCCAGTAGCTGTCGTCCTTCTTGTTGTCGGGAATGAACTCGCGCTGCTTGCGCTGCGTGAACAGGTCCTTTCTGATGTCGAAGTTCGACGAGTAATTCTCCGGGTGCTGCTGCGCGTCGTGATGATGCTGCTGCTGTTGTTGATGCTGCTGCGGTTGTTGTTGCTGCTGCTGCTGCTGCTGCTGCTGCTGCTGCTGCTGCTGCGCCTGGTGATGGTGGTGATGGTGGGTAGGCTGAGGTTGCTGCTGCTGCTGCTGCTGCGGCGGCGGTGGTTGCTGCTGCGGCTGGTGTTGATGCTGCTGCTGGACCGCTGGCGGCCCACCGTGATGGCCAGGATGGGTCAGGGGCGGCAAGGGTCCGTGGGCGTCGTGACCGGCGTGGCCACCGTGGCCGCCGTGCGCCATTGTGTGCGTGGCCGGCATGCTGTTGCTGTTCAGGCACGCGGTCTCACCATTGATGGGCGATCCACTCTGGCGCGAGACAAACTCTGCCACCATAATTCGTTCTCTTAGTACATCTGCAACCGAGCGAAGGGAGAGAACATGTCAGTTAGGAGAATTAATCAGAGAACGCGTGCTAAGCAGCAAAGCGAGGAAGGTCTGAATTTGAGTGAAATTCCACTCGAAAAGTGCAGTGACTTCTCCCCCGTATGGACTCGTATTCATAGTTGTCACTTGAAACTTGTCTCACGTGAGAGACATTCTAATTTTTATTCAGAGTTGAAGTCAAGTTTATTAATTAAGATGTAATATATGCGATCTGTAATTCAACTGGAAAACTCTCATCTAACTAAATTCAAATCTGAAAGTCTCACTTGAAACTGGTTTTCCAAGTGACGTCTATTAACACATGGAATGAATTCCTCCATTCCAAATCGTCGAGTGACTGTTTTCATTCGAAGCTGAAAGAGTGAAATCTGATGCACTCTATTATCGTTGGAACAAACCCGCTTCAATCGACCGGAACATTTTCACTCTCGCGATTCCGAGCGGTGATATCTTCACTCATTTTCAGGAAGAGTTCACTCCAAGAAATCCAGGGAGTGGAAACGCGCGGTTCAACCGGATACGTAGGATAAGGTAAACGATTCGACACGCGAGTCAACGCGCAACCCGCCGCGCTTATTAGCGGCGATGACGAAAGTCGCGTCGCGTGCCAGGCGACTGAATACGTCAGGAAGTCGACGACGACGAATGGTCGCTGTCCAATGATCGGATTGCGTACGAACGGATGCACGGGAAGGTTAATCGGACATTAAGAGTGAAAGAAATTAAATATCGATGATCTGAAAGATGTTGTTGCTGTTATTGATCGTCGATCTCTCGTTTGCTAATGAAGAGACGGCCACCGGTTTTCGTCTAACGCGCTGCTGATGATGATCGTCGCGAGGCCGCGCACGTATTTCGGCAACTCGAGGTCGATTCCGTCGACGACGGCGATTTCAGGTAGGCGTACAAGCGCGCGCGGGAGCGAGTGGCCAAAGATAAAGAATGCCGAGAGTTCGGGAGACGTGTTCGCACTGCCAACAGGCGCGCGAGAGATATTGCAAAATAGCCTTGAGTAAGGTCGTGCTCGCCAAGGTCGAAGGTGTCGCTGAACCCGGCGGTGAACACGACGAGCGTTCGTTCGCGCGTTTCGCCTCTAACTCGATTTAACTGCGCGATTTATTAAATCACGTAATTTCGGGAATTTTTACGCAACGACTGCTTCGAGACTGCCAGGATACGGCAGACCTTCATCGACAATCGCGACACGATCGGAAAATTTACGATTTTTTAAATTGGATTTATGTGAAGCAAATGTATTTTGAATTATGAAATTTACGTTATATAATGTGAATTTTTGTTGTGATGCGAAGGAGCAAGTTTACCAAAATTACACTTTTGGCATCATCACAGACAGCATAATGTCTAAAATCGGAACATTAGACGTCTTAAAGATCATCTTTAAGATGTCTTTCAAACGATTTACGTATAAATGTCTTTAAGGCACCTTAAAAATTATCTTTAAGACGTCTTATGCCTCGATTTTAGACATTATGTTGTCTGGGGCATTTAATATGACATATCGTTTTGAGCAAACTTTTATAATCCTCTTCGTATTTCTACTTTGTCATTCTATGTGACAGATATAAGTGCAATCTGATCAGTCACAAGAGACTGAAGTTCGTGGTTGAATAAACTCGAAGTGTCGTAATGTCCACGCACGTCAGTTTACCGGGGCAGGGCTTCTCGGAGTAATCTACTGATCCTGTGACGCAAGGAATGCTATGCAAGAGACAAACGAGATGATGCAAAATTAGAAGAAAGGGAAGGGGCCGGTCACGCGAGGTGTTGACCGCAATGATTCGAGCTTGGAGAGATAAAATGAGAAGGATCGCGCGAGATCTAAGATGAAGCGAATCGTTAGCGACACAAATCCTCGCACGCACGCGTCCTCCGGTTCTCTAATTGGCCCTCGTGAGAAATCGAAGCGTCTCGGGCGAGATCGACGGCACACGCCAATTAGCGCCGCTACGGCGTTTCTTCCCTCCCCTTCCCCCTTTTTTAATTAAATTCTCCGATTCCCCGACGGCGGAAATATCGGGACGGTAGCGTGACTCGCGGTAGCGCTCGTATAATTAAGCCGTCTCCTCCGCGCCTCCTCCTCCTCCTCGTCCTCCCGATCCGCGGTGCGATTATCGGCCGTTGGATGTCCGCGATTAAGTATCCCACGAGAGCGTTCGTTTCCTCCATCCGCTATCCACGACCGGCTATTTTTAACCCGCGATCGCGGATGAAAATACTCCGCCGCCTCCTCCTCTTTCCCCTCTTCCTCCGCCGACGGCTTCGCCTTCGACGCGTACGTAAGCTTTAATCCGATGGCGCACAACAGCGCCCGGTTACGCAACCGTGCACGTGCGCTCGCGGAGCCGCTCCACGTGTTCCGCGTTCTGGACGTCGGGGAGCGTGGCGCCGCCGCGACACGTACTTACCTTCGACCTTCGATATTTATTGCACACAAGACCGGCCTAAGAAACGCGCACGCGCTAATTACGCGCCACTGAGCTGCGCCCGCGTAAATAACGACACGACGTTTTTCTCAGTCTCCCTTTTTCGAATTCGTCGCGCGGAAAATCTCACGTGCGCCCGCCGAGCCAATCCTCCGTGTCTCGTCCCCGGCCGATAGCTGCGCATAGCCTCCGTGAGGAATCCACTTTTAACGGAGATAAGTCCCCGTTACGTAAAACGCGCCGGGATATTTTCCGTAGGCCACCCACCCACCCGCTCGCCCGCGCGTGTCAACCGCATCTTTATCGCCCGGCTGCGATAATCCGCCGCGTTTCTGACTTCGTAATGATACGCGCCGCGGTGACTGGAGAATGGGTCTCTGGTCCGACGGAGCTCGAAGTCCGAGAATTACATGCCAGTTTTTCACAAGCTTCACTAATAACGAGAGATAAGAAATTACGTTCGTAATTACGTAATTAAGAGCGTCGATCTTCTTCTCCGCGTTCTTATTTCGCTTCAAGACCATTTTGCGCAAAAGGCGACTAGTTTAACCGCTGCTTTCTTGACTGACGTAGGCTGTGTGTTACCTCGCGAGCGATTCTTCGCTCGTGAAATAACATTTTGCAAGAAGGAATCTCTCTTAGATGCACACCTGTGCGCTTTATTGTACGACTGTCGGACTTGCTCGTCGAGAGGAAGTTGAGGATCCCGCGCCTCGTGATATTTCGTACGCCGAACCGCAAGCTTCTACTATTGCGAGATATATATACTTCATACGTACCATACGTATTTCGCAACAATGTCAACGCGAAATAACCACAACACGCACGCAAACACTTTTTTTCTGCGCCGCTTCTGTTGATTACATTACATCATAATTGACGTAAGCACGGAAAATAATCTCGGCGATAAAAACACCGGCGATCGTCGTTCGTGATCGTCTCTGGTTCGCCTCGCAACGCGATTGAGAAAAACAAAGTTGAGAACAAGCGAGTCCGCGGGATCGTCGAGAAGCGTTTCGAGAGTGTCGAGTGTGTGGGTTGCAAAATACTTCAGAGACAATGAAATTGCGAGTTCACCGAACGGTCAAGACTGACGATCATTACTGACGAGCTTGTCTAATAATTACATTATTGATATTAATATCATTCGATATTATTTAGTGTTCTTGATTGTGTGATTAATTATATTATTATTGCGCCGGTAATGATTCTCAATTTTGGCAAGTTTGGTGAGCTCTCAATTTCGTCGGGTTTAGACCGTTTTGCAATCCATTGCTGTAAACTTGTTCTCAAAACAGTTTGAACACTTTTTATTTTCCAATGTGTTTTGGAACGTAGCCGACGATCCAATGAGAGAATTCGTTCTTGATTAAATCCCAGAAGTTATATTCTGGGCTTATATTTCATTGGACCATGGGCTGCGTTCCAAACTGCACCGAAGAAAAGTGTCCGAACCGTTTTCGAAAGTCAGTGTAACCAAATAAGACGTTCTGATTTCAGTTCAGAGTTAGATGAGTTTTTCAGTTGAGTCGCAATTACAGATACAACGTCACATGTACCAGATATAATTTAATTGAACATATTGGATCCAAACCTGAATAGAAATTTGAGACAAAGGACCTCGCACAAAACCTATGGAAAATGGTTTTCGGTCAAATTGGCTGAAATTTCACTATGTTATAGTTTTCGCCATGCTGATAAAAAGTTATCATTGCACCAAGTCCCAAAAGTCAATATTTCCCAAGATATAAAGGGTCAAAGTAGTGAAATATGGTCATCCGCAGTAATAAGACGTATGTTATAAGTATAAGTATAAATAAAAATCGATTTTTACATATATATATGTAATAAATATTTAGTTCCGCAATATTTTTAAGATATGAAACAGTTTTTTGTAAAACTTATATTTTTCGAGATATTTCACCGGTCCGATAATTTTCCCCACCTTGTATATACATATACATATATATTGCGGAACTAAATATTTATTACATATATATATGTAAAAATCGATTTTTATTTATTTCGTGAATAAATATCAATGTATCACTTATAATATACGTCTTACTACAACGGATGACCATATTTCACTACTTTGACCCTTTATATCTTGGGAAATATTGACTTTTGGGACTTGGTGCAATGATAACTTTTTATCAGCATGGCGAAAACTATAACATAGTGAAATTTCAGCCAATTTGACCGAAAACCATTTTCCATAGGTTTTGTCCTTTGAAAGTACGACTATCAATACAGGACTAAATTTCAATGTGGTTTGTGCAGCCTCTTTTCAATGCATTTTAGAGAACGTATCCAATGGTATCATGAGAAAACTTCACTTCTAAGAGTCAATTAAAAGCAAGTTTTCTCGTCGGACTATCGGCTACGTTCTAAAACGCATCAAAAAGAGAAGTGCTCGAATCATACTGCAAAGTTTACATCAAGGCGGCGATGACGACGACGGGAGGCAGAGAGCACACGGAAGATGCAGTGGTGGCGCGTTATATAAGTGAGGTCAAACGAAATTTCATGTTTCAAAACTTCTTTAAGCTCGATCTACAATGTGCTCATTGCGTTCTGTTTTTTGTCTTCTGTCTTTTTCTGGCTTAAAGTCTTATCTACAATATATGCTCTTTGCATTCTGTTTCTTCTGTCCTATTCTGGATTAAAGCTTAAGGTTTGAGTCAGAAAGAGATAAAGAGAAAGGAGCAGGAAGCAAAGAGCATATTGTAGATCAAGCTTAAAGCTTGATCTATATGTTCTACAATATATGCTCTTTGCATTCTGTTTCTTCTGTCCTATTCTGGATTAAAGCTTAAGGTTTGAGTCAGAAAGAGATAAAGAGAAAGAAGCAGGAAGCAAAGAGCATATTGTAGATCAAGCTTAAAGCTTGATCTATATGTTCTACAATATATGCTCTTTGCATTCTGTTTCTTCTGTCCTATTCTGGATCAAAGCTTAAGGTTTGAGTCAGAAAGAGATAAAGAGAAAGAAGCAGGAAGCAAAGAGCAAGCTTAAAGCTTGATCTATAATATATTCTTTGCGTTCTGTTTCTTGTCTTCTGTCTCTTTCTGGTTTAAAGCTTAAGGTTTGAGAAAGAGATAAAGAGAAAGAAGTAGGAAGCAAAGAGCATATTGTAGATCAGGCTTAAAGCCTGATTTACAATATGCTTTATGTCTGATCCAGAGGAAGCAGAAGGCAAGAATCTGACTCGACAAAGTTGTTCCGAGTTTCATTAGCTTAAACAACAAAGAAAAAAAATTGAAATCAGTTCAAAGTTCAAGACTATAGCTTTTCTTGAAACATGAAATTTCATTTGCGGAAGCTCAGTGTGCGTTTCCGCGGGCGTTAATGGAAGCCTCGTCGTTGATTTCCTCGTGTATCGTGTAAATACACACCGGTACAGCGCCGTGCGTGAACCTTGTCTAATCACGTGCCTGGGGCGTCGCTGGCGTCTCGAAACGTGCACCCGCGACCTCGTCGCGTTCCGCCGGTTTAACGGCGAGGCCGTTACACGTCCCTCCGATCCCCAGGTGGAGCGCGACACGTAGGAGAGGCTCCTGTGCGCGCTCCGTGTGTTTTCACGCTCACCTAACGAGCTAACAGCCGGTCGCGAGTAACGGCGAGTTTGCTGACACCGCGGCCGGAACGTCCGCAGAATCTCCTCTTCTCGGGGAATAACTCGGCGGCAGGAGTCGGTATCGCGAGCATGCTGATATGGAAATTGGACGACTCACTTGCGCACGCGATGACACATTGTTGTGAGCGGGCGGCTGAGCGATTATTCAACCTGATTTACGTAACGTTCGACTGTTTTTCTGAACTTTCGGAAGACTGAGTCATTAATTCCTCCGCGGCTCGCAGTCTGATCCGTTTTTACTGGACGCCCCGGGGATGATCAGGATAATACCGACGATGTTTCATCGCGTGATACCGCTTAGGAACGGGATATCCGAAAGTAGAAGTGTCCGATGACGTGTTTAGCTTTTGACTCGTGTCATACGATGCGCGACACGGGCTCAGTTTTCTGAGCTCTCTTATTCATCTTTGATCGCCACGTAATGTCGCTTATCGCGCAACGATTACGTGTAGTGTACGCGGAGGGAATATTACAGTAGATGTTGCTGTGGAACTTTGTAACCGAGGAATACAACGAAATTTTACGGTTAGCTGTCCTCTCATTTTGTATGTGCCACTTATAATTCTTCAGGAACTGAAATGCGTTGTTAAAAAATTTCCTGTTTCCAGCGAAATTTATTGTACTTCTTAGCAAGACAGACCTCACCATCTCTATTATTATATCTATTTAATCTATTTAATCTCTATTATTATTTAAAAAACGCAATAAAATTAAAAAATTTTACATTAAAAAAACTTTATTACTCTCTTTATGTACGATAATAACTTTATTTGTATAACCACTGATAAATTCATAATGAAACTTGTTTATACGGTATCTTCAACACGTATACATGTTTCTAAGAAATTTATCCGTTCTAAATTAAAAAAATAATAATGGCACATATTAGCTAGAAAAGATAACTTTTAGTTGCGCAATAAAAAAGATTAATTCGCGCGAGAGCAAAAATACTCGATTGAAAAAAAAACGTCGAAAATCTCATCTATTTAACGAGTTTTCGTTACAAACTCCTCGATTACGTGAATCTCGACGAAGGATGCGAACTGGGTGTTTCGGAGAACACACTCTCTCTCTCTCTCTCTCTCTCTCTCTCTCTCTCTCTCTCTTTCTCGCAGAGTGCACATTGCGACACGATCCGGCCGACTCTCGAAAGTCCACGAGCGCAGTCATTCGCGGTTTCCTCGATATATCAGCGCGCGCTCACGACACGGGCAATGAATTATCGGGACACGAAACCTTGTCGAAATTGAGCAATCCCTTGAAATTCCAGTCTCCCCAATTGCGTATGATTTCGCGTGACTCACATTACGAAGCCGGAGAGTGGTGGGGTCAGGGGGTAAGGGAGAAGGAAGGTAAGAGAGAGAAGGGCGCGACCTGATCTAGCAATTTTTCTCTTTTTCTCGTGGCACCCACGCGCGAGTTAATCTCGAAAGAACGAGAGAGAGAGAGAGAGAGAGAGAGAGAGGGGCCATCGGGGGTCTTGTTCGCGCACGCCAATGTATCAGGTGTCGAATCACGCGCAATTCGAGGAGAACTCGAGAAGAGTTTAGGTAAACTCTGCGAAATTTCCAGCCCTTTTCTCATCGTAGACAGAAAGAGGAAAAAAGACAAGCCGTTCGTGTTACGTACCAAAAAAAGAAGCAACAAAGTGCCGGAGAGCTGTCTCCTTTTCGGCGAACGAGAGCGACGTGCGTTGCACTCGTCGATATCGCAAGTTTGCGAAACGTCAGAAGGACGGACGGGCCGATACACGCGCGCACACACACATGTACACAAGCGTATACGCGCACGGTCCAAAAGCGGCGCACTTTCGCCCACGCGACGCGAGCGCCGACTCTCTCGTGAACGTTTCTGCGCTCTGAGATTTTCCCGAAATATCCCGGTCACTCGTAAATTCCCGTCGGTGGACGTGAAAGCGCGTCTATTTAAAGCGCCGATTCACACCTTCGTGGACACGGCGTGGCGCAGACACGCACACAAACACACACACACACACACACACCGTCTTCTCGTTCCTCGCTGCCCCCTCAGGTTAAGTCCCCGCGAGAAACGCGAATCTTTCCACGACTAATGCGGAAAAAAGTAGAAATGTCTCGCGTTATATACCGTTTGTTGCCCGGCAGGGCCAATTAAGCGCGTAAACAACGCCGTTGGTCGCTGCGCGCGCGCTGAGAACGACGTAATTCCGCCGCGAATCGCGCAAACAACCGCTCGCGACTGACGCGATACGTATATTGTTTCCTTTTTGCCTCGGCCAACTCAAGCTGGAGCCGCGCGATTCCAGCCGGCGAAACAACGTGCGGACGCGTTTCGCGTCGTGTGACGCATGCGGAAACGCATGTGGCGGCGTGACGTACGCCACGTGTTGCGATCGGGGGAATCACGTTTCCGCTCTTCCGCTCACGGGGAGGACACGACGCACGGCAAGCCGGCCCTGGCCGCAGTGCAATTAATTATTGGCGAAATCTCGGTCGCGCGATCGGAGCCTCTCATCGCCTGGGAATTTCCGCGGCTTCGTCTTTCCGCCTTCGATACGTGAAATATTCGCGATCGTCGCACGTGTGTGTTTCGCCACGAAGCGATAAGATCGACAGAAATTGTCGCAAGGTGCAATCGCGGCCACAAAGGTCGGCGCACATTCCTCGGCCGAGAGAAACGCACGTGGCGTCCGATGAGGAAGCCTATCTCTTGAAAAAAAAAATTCTCAAAGCCAAACTCTTCCCTTGGAAGTCGGTTGCGTCGCGAAGTGCGTCGGAGAAGAAGCATGAACTTTGTGGTCGCGATTGCACGCCCTAAAGAACAAGAGATGTTTTCAATATGGAAAATATGGCAACAAGATTTTTGCAATCTTCGATTCAGGATTATGACCGAAATACTGCATGTTTGTTCAAAAGTAATAAAAGTATTAAGCATGTTTGCCTAATTTTTAACTGCAAAATTACTAAAATTACTCAGATATTTCTTGTGTCGTGTATTAGATAGATCGCCAAATCTACTATTTATGTACCGAGAGAAAAAAATCTAAAAAAGATATTTAAAAGAAAAAAAATCTAAAGATAAAAAATATTCACAATAGGTATTTATATTGGATAACATATTAGATATGAATTCTTTTATATTTCATTCTTTTATTAAATAAAATTAATTTTTTTTATTAAAGACAAATAAAATTAAATATTCTTTTATTTAATTCTTTTATTAAATATAATAAGCACAATGGCTTTCGTGAAAAATTAAGATTTCAAAAAAATGTAAATAGAGAATATGTATTTTTTTATTTAAAGAATATTTTATATTGGTGTAAATATAGTAATGATTAGTATTGAATATTGTTTATTTCTAAGATATTTTTTCTCTCTCAGTGTACAACAATTTGTGATACAATTTTGGTATAGTCCAGCTCGGGAAAAAACATTGCGAAAACGGATATAATTCCCACGTAATTTTCGCTGTAACATTTTCTCCGTGTCGTCTTTCGATGAACGGACGAATGTATGAACGTCACGTTCGTCGCGCGAAATTATTCGCTTTCGCGAGAAGAGATCTCGGCTAGGTGGAATTAAATTAAGAACGCGGAATCACCGATTCGTGTGATTCATCCTTAATACTTTTAACCCGCACAATTCACGAGTTCGCGATGACAAAGTGGCGGCAGTGTAATATGACATGACGACTACGACGACGAAGGGAGTGAGAAGAGATGCCACGTGGTACGGGCAGTCTAATATTCAAACCGCGATTCTCTCTCTTTCTCTCGTACGGACTGGCGTGACGTCAATGCCTCGCGTGGCGTTACCTCGCGTTAATTCGATTCGCCGATAAAGATGCCGTCCACGGAAATAAACGCTCATTAAATTCCAACTAACGCGTGGGATTATGGCGAAATATTACGCAACCTCGGTGATTCCCTTCGGATCATTATCTCGCCGCGTCATAAATGTCGTCTGAATTCAATTATTTCAGCCTCCCGTGTGACATGTAAAAAGCAACCCCGGAGTTATCTCGCACGCGCGCGCGCGAGAGAGAGAGAGAGAGAGAGAGAGAGAGAGAGAGACGCAATTGACGCGTAGCATACACACCTCCGACGATAATTGGAAGCGTTTCACAAATACGCCGAGCGTCATCGGGACGAGGGATGACAAACAAGAAAGAGATCGATTGAATCACGAAAATCGGCCGTTAATAATTCCGCCGAATCATTGTCGCGCAATGCGCCAAGCAGCGCCAAGTGTGTTTGTGTGTGTCACGCGTGCGGATTTTCCGCGGAAACGTCATAACGCGCGCAGCGTTGCGTAATTCGCGCTCACCGCGATAGATAATCGGAGACACGGCGGCACGTACGACGCGAATACATCTACGCGTGTATACCTGTTGTGCCACACGTCCGCTTATTCCGAAAATCATCCTACGTGACGTACCGCGACGCGATAGAAGTCATCCGAGCGCGCGGTGACTTGGCTCGATATAATTTCAGGATGAGCTCATTGAAATGCGAATGTGTGTCTCTCGAGCGCCACGGGCAGGTGTAGTCGGATTCTTCTAACGTTGCTCTTGATAGTAATAATAATAATGAATAATTGAATAGATGATTGAGCAGGGAAAACTCGAATGGGGTCTCTGTGACATGAGATAGAAAATGGGAACGCGCGAGAATCTGAGGATTGGACTCGCAAAATTGGAGGACTACACTAAGAGGAGAGAATACTCGAAAAGCTGTTCGTGAGACATCAAGTTTATTTCTGCGTAAGCAAACTTTATATTTTGCAAATAAATTCTTCTCAGTGAGATTACGATGCACGGGGAAAATATATTCCTACACTGAGAGAGAAAATATCTAGAAAATACAAAATATTTATATTCGACGGGTACAAATAGCATATTTACTTGTGCCGATATACATGTGCTTACATTGAGAAAGAATTTTCCTCAAATGAGAAAATATTGTATTTTCTCAAGAGTTTTTTTCTCTTTGAGAGCAATTGTTACTTGTTGTATTTAAACGAAGGAATTCTGATCTAAATTGATATATTTTATTAGTGCCCATCGAGTAAATATTTTTTATTTCTCAGATATCTCTCCTCTCAGTGTACATCTCTCGATCAGTTTTCATACATATAACGACGATATCAGTCCCCGGCCCAGAGCAGAAACGTCAAATGAAATCGAAGGGCGCGCGCGTGACTCTCCGCACTTCACGGAAGGCGGAATTAAAGCGCTCGCCGGCGACTCGATTTAGAACTACGCAGCCGCCTCTATTAATATTCGCCCGTTGTCGCTATTGTTGCGCACGATAAACACACGCGCGCGCGCGTATAAAGCAGGAAAGACACGCCGGCCAACTGCGCGTGTCGGTTTTCCGAATGCGCATCTCCTCTCCGTAATATCTCCCCCGTCATTATCAATTGACGTTTCCGAGGAAGTGTTATCTCATGGTGTCACCTAATTTTCCAGGAACGCGCGCCAACGAGCAGAAAGCAGAGAGAGAGAGAGAAAGAGAGAAAAGAAAATATATGAAATCTGTAGTATATATACAGGGTATCCCAGATTAGCTTCACAATCTTTCGTAAAGATGTAAAGCAGATCGAGATAAACACAAAAGTCCCATACCGTTTTGCGATATTCGTAATAATAGTCGAAATATTAATTAAAGAAGATTGATGAATGATCATGCGTGATATGGTAGATTAGTTGCAGTGGAGCCGTCTGCCGTTGTACACTTATATATTAAGTCAAACTGAACAAAAAAGTCCTCTACCATTTTGCAAATGACTATATAGATTTTTAGATATTAATTAAAGGAAATTTGTACATTATGATACACAATCATGTAACAATTATATTATAGCTACATTAAGGAAAAAATTACCTTAAAATCAACAAATATTTCTTTGATGGGTGCCATTAACATATTTATTTAAATCTAAATTCTCTTTATTTAAACCAAATATTGTTTACTTAAATCAGGTAAACAATTTGATTTAAATAAAGAGAATTTAGATTTAACTAAATATGTTAATGGCACCCACCAAAGAAATATTTGTTGATTTTAAGATAATTTTTCTTTTAGTGTATATATATATACACTAAAAGAAAAATTATCTTAAAATCAACAAATATTTCTTTGATGGGTGCCATTAACATATTTAGTTAAATCTAAATTCTCTTTATTTAAATCAAATTGTTTACCTGATTTAAGTAAACAATATTTGGTTTAATTAAAGAGAATTTAGATTTAACTAAATATGTTAATGGCACCCATCAAAGAAATATTTGTTGATTTTAAGATAATTTTTCTTTTAGTGTATATATATATACACTAAAAGAAAAATTATCTTAAAATCAACAAATATTTCTTTGATGGGTGCCATTAACATATTTAGTTAAATCTAAATTCTCTTTATTTAAATCAAATTGTTTACCTGATTTAAGTAAACAATATTTGGTTTAATTAAAGAGAATTTAGATTTAACTAAATATGTTAATGGCACCCATCAAAGAAATATTTGTTGATTTTAAGATAATTTTTCTTTTAGTGTATATATATATACACATTATATATATATATATATGTATATATATATATGTATATATATATGTATATATATATATATATATATATATATAATGTAATACTAATACATAACTGTGTGTGTGTGTGTGTGTAGTCTCGTGAGTGTAACAATAATAAACGAAATAACTTGTAACTATAAAAAACTACAAAAATAACAAAATATAGTCTGAACTAATTATAAACTTTACACACAAGAAAGAGAGTGTGAGAAAGAGTGAGAGAAAGAGATAGAGATAGAAAGAGCACGTTATCACGGGCACGTGTTCAACCGCGCGTTGCGCAATGCGTCAGATCGCACGTGGCCCGCTGCATGTCTCCGCTCCCATTTGCGCGTCTTTCTCTCTGCCTTTGTGTATCTCTTGACACGAGTGAGATTTTTCCCCGGAAACGCGCGGCGCGCGTGGTATGGGAAGTTCTCCACGCCGAAGATTAATGTGCCGCGCGCGTGCAGGCGCGTTCGCTGAGGCTCCCTCGCGATTTCCGTCGCTTTGGCGCGCTCGGCTTTCCCGGGAAACGCGCGTTTTCCCGAAGCGGAAACTGCACCGTGTTTTCCGCGTTGCATCGCGGGACTATGAGCGCGACCACGCCGACGGCGAGGCGTGTGTCTCCACCCGCAGCACCCTTTGACGGACGATGCAAATCACGAGCGAGAAAAGAGAAGACACACACACACACACACATACACGGTCCACGCAGCACGTGGGGAGAACACGCCGAGAACATTCGCTGCTGTGAGTAGGCAGACGTGACGCGCAATTTCGATCGCCCGTGTGCGTCGTTATCGACGCGCGTTATTCGCCAACTAACTTCCGCGAGATTACTGACTACGCATTTGTTCGTGCAGAAACAACAACATACACACACATATATACATGTAAGAGTCGTCTTGCGAAATTGATATCGTAGTTTAGACAACCGAAAATAATTAGCAGCCTACAATGTATTGCGGACGATGAGTAATTAGTCGCGAGATATCGCGCGTATCTCGATTAAGTCATCCGTTGACCCGATACCCGGCCGTTTGTTTTTCTTCTGACGCACTCTGATTCGAGGAAACACTTCCCTCGCAATATGCATAAATACGACGTATTCCTCTCCTCTACCTCTATCATGCCTAATCTCTCTCTCTCTCTCTCTCTCTCTCTTCATGGATATCTTCCCGGAAATTTGTTTACATTATTCTTGGGCAAAGACACTTTTGGAAAATTACGCGAGAGGGGACGGAATCCTAAAATGATTGAATACTCACAACGCGACGCGCTGCGAGCCGTGACTGAAGCAACGTTCCGGCGAAAGGAAGAGAATAAAAAAAAGGGAAAAACAAAGAAGAAGGAGAGAGAGAGATAGTCTTCGTGTCGCGCATAATTTACACACATTGTAGAGGAGGATAGTCAGAGGAGACTCGCGTGAAATATGACGGATTCGAAAAATAAATCGGCGGGATATAATAAACACGTCGGACATGCGACGCGTGACGATCTTGGAACGCGACCATCGGCCGCGGTATTATTTGCGGAATGCGCGTTTCAGAAAAACAGCTGAATAGGATGCGCGCGAACGCCTGAAATAGTCGACGGGTACGACGAACTTAAGCGCGGCGCGCATAAAGGCATGTGCACAATGCCGGCCACCCGATACCGCGCCGCGTCGGCCGTGTCCGTGCGCGTTACGATTGCGGTCAGCGCTCACGTAACAGGCGAGCCACTGATACCGTTATCGGCCTTTGCCGACGGAGGCATTTCGAACCGGTCTCCGATTTCGTTTCCCGCTCATTATGCAACTGGCCCGCGATAACGCGACCGATCCGTCCCGGCGCGCGAAACGAAAAACAACAAGCGCGCGCGACTCCGCGACGCGCTCGATGGCCAGCGCGATTCTCAGAATCGCCCACGGATCCCCGGGGATTCCCGGGTGTGTTACTGGATGTAACAAGACTTCGGTATCCGCGGACGTCTGTAATGTTTTATCCAATTACGAAATTGTTAGTTAATACTCTGTGAAATGTCTACGATAAAACGGAGCGATATTTTAAATGAGGAATTCAAAATCTGTCGTTTCTTTTTTGTGGCATGTGAGAGAGAGAGAGAGAGAGAGAGAGAAAGCGCTTCATGTATTGTGGGTTCTATGACATCATGCTTTCAAAAGCATAGATTACAGAAATGTAATACACAGAGAGAACGATCTGGTTGAATCAAATGAACGCTTCTTTGGAATAGTCCAAACGAATTTTTTGATTGATCGAACAAAATTTTGTTGGAAGCAACAAATATATTTATTTGCGGCTTAGTTTGAAAGAAATATTTTTGTTGCGTCAACCAAATAATTTGTTTGGACTATTCCAAAGGAACATTTATTTGATTCAAATCGTTGTCTCTGTGTATACAATAAAAGCAAGGGAGAGAGAGTGAGAGAAAGAGATTAATCTGGATCACCGTGTGCGTCAAGAACAACGCGATATCGATCGACGACACCCGGTATAGGCGCATTACAGTCGCATTACAGAGGCACGCTTTGTCGTTACGTAATCGTGCGTCACGCGGCGCGGCCGGCCTGATACGATTCGGAGCGACGGTGGGGTGTCAGCGGGCGGGGGACGGGGGCGGAAGGGGCGGGAGACGAAATTACACGAGACGAGCGCGTGTATAGCGGCGTCCTACACATTTTAGACTACCCCGAACTTAGCGGCGATTAATCGCGCAGCTGCAGCAGGTTGCCGAAATATCGCGCCCTTTGAAATTTTAATATCCCCAAACAAAAGTCGCCGGCATGTATCTTTGTGCGCCGAGGCAAATGTTTGATCAACGTGCGCGAGCTCTCACGTGGCTCGATGATATACTCGTTGACCGACTTTTTATTATTATTTAACTATCTTTCGTGTATTCACGAGCAAATAAATTTGAATAAAGTGCGCTCGAAATTGCCGAGATAGTTGCGAATTTTCATTCTAGTGCGCGCACACGTGCCTTGTCCCCGTGACTTGTTTGCCGACGATAATAGGTATTAGAATATTCGAGTTTGCGAATATATACATTTACTTACATACATGTACGTCAGTAATTCATAGTAAATTTTGTTTTTTTGTTGTTGTTGAACGGGGCGAATTGTCATGCGCCTTTCACGCGAATAAAAAATTCTGCACGATCGCCCGGCTCTCCACCCGCGATCACTGGCCGGAGGTGGCTGGTGATTGAAGAACACGAGGGAGAGGTTAGTGCACGTGGCGTTTCCGTGGGGGAGAGGTCGCGTGTCCCGCGGAGACGCGCGTTGTCGAATGTTTACGGAGGCCTGGGTGGACGCGTTTTAATGGGCGTCGCACGCTTCGTCGGCAGCACGATCCACGTGAGACTCGCGCGTTCTTACGACGCGTCGACCTTCCCGTCTACACGTGACATTGGGGGCTAACGAGCGAGGCGCAGAAGCGTTTATCCTCGTTACATAATGCGCGAGAGCGACATCGCGATACGATCGTTCTTTATTCTACGCGTTGGAGCTTCGGCGGGTCGATCGATTCGTCACTGACGCGCGTCCCGCTGCACGGAGACATCCGTGATTCTAGGTGATTTGCTAATCGTTTAGTAATCGTGAATTGACGGTAGGAGAGAGATCTATTGGTTACGTCACGCAAGAAGTGGCGAGAAACAATGATTAGGTGCAGAAACGGGAAAATAAATCAACAGACTCGAAGATACTCGAGCCTTATTCATTCTGGGGGAAAACAGATCTGAGAAATAAAAAGTATTTATTATATATTTATGAGTACTGATAATAAATTTACTTATATAAAATATTTATCTCAAATAAAAGAGTGTACGTTTTCTTAAAACTTGTGAGAAAAAAATTTGTCGAGTAAATGTAGATGTTGAGTGGATATGCTAAGTAAAGACGACTAGGTACGATTAGATAAGCTAACTATATATATTAGTAGCTATATCCACCGAAATAAATATTTTTTATTTGTCAGATATTCTTTCGTTCAGTATATATGTCTCTCCTGATAGCGGAGAGAAAAAGTTGGCATTTGGTTCTAAAGTGGTAATTAAAAAAGGTTGATCACACAACTTGAAAGTTCTCACTGTTAATTTCGAGGAAGATCTGAAATGAAGAGTCGCGAGTTACCTTGGAGTCGGTTTCGGAATCTAACAAAGCGATCTCATGAGAAGTTTTACTCATCGCCAACAGCGACTGACTTGAGTAACGTCGCTTATCTTGATTTAAACGTCGTCGACTGAACAGGCGCGCGCGCGTTACACGAAATAAAT